GCCATCAGCGACGAGGGACAGCAGCCATCAGCGACAAGGGACAGCAGCAGTCATCGACGAGGGACAGCCCGGCAGTCAGCGACGAGGACAGTAGCCTAGTCAGCGACAAGGGACAGCAGCCAGTCTCGACGAGGGACAGCAGCCAGTCACGACGAGGGAACCAGCACCATCCGCGACGGAGGGACAGCACCAGCTAATCAGTGACGAAGGCACGGGAGTAAACCACCATGGGGAAACAAGGGAAGGACAACATCCAATCATTATAGAGGGAGGCACAAGCAGTCAGTCAAGGAAAGACCACCATGAGCGAAAGGAGGGAGGAAAGCAGCCAAAGAAGGGCAGGTAGTATGTTGAGACAGGTTGAGTCAAGAGACCAGTCACGCTCACTCCATTCATAAACATCAGTAGGTCCAACATGGTCACTCTCATCTCTTACTATTGTAAGTTAAGTTTCCTTCATCAGTTTAACTTAACTTCCACTTCCTGGCTCACCACGAGTACTTCTAAAATACAGTAAGTCAAGTTGTCAGGGAAACTACAACGAACAGTTATTGAACGCGGGCTTTAGCTGTATGATGACCCACAGCTGGAGCTTTAAGGTCATTGACAAATACCTTCCACTGGCTGACCACTCCATCACTAAAAAAAAAATGGTTTATGATGTAAAACCACAAAACTAGTACCTAAATACATTTAGGTGTTATATGCAGATGTATAGCGAACTGAAAGCTAAGGTTTACTAGTCAATATTTCATGACTTAAACTGCTGACTTTTTTGCATGAACTGTCAGACAATGATCATTGATGTAAGTTAAATACACGTAAGTGACAGTTTTATCATTCGTGTTGGTCAAACAATCGTGAGGATGTCAAGTGGCACAGGTCAGTTGTCGAGGTATATAGACAATGACAACCTAATAACGATTCAGAAATCTGCAATATTCGCTGAACAAAATGTAAAGAAATGTGTTAATTATCAACTGGAGAAGTTGAGATGAACTAAGGTATCTGGTACAAAAAAAACGGTTGGCCGACTTGATACTGTAGTAGGGAAAGGTCATTTGCCTGGATCAAATGCGGATCCAGTTTTAGTGGCTCAGTTTATGATTATAATAAGGAAGTTCTCGGTTGGATGTGGCAGTCAAGGGTAATCTAAAGTGGTAATTTATAGCAGAAATAAAGTATAAAATTTTTTTCAGGTGCTCGTGTGTGGTGTTAAGGAGATATGCAAGTCCCTCGGACCTGATAATGGCGGATGTTACTGAGGAACAACACTACACTACACAATATAAAGAAAACTGAAGGCAAGTAACGATCCGGGATGTTTTTCGGAACCTCTGGGATACTAAAAAATATTTTAGTATTTAAAAATGACTGGAGGAACAGGTAGAATAAGAGTGCGTATGAAGCGACAGATAGAGGGTATGAGGGGGTATATAAGTGGGGACTTCTTAGATATAACAAACTCCCACTTTTATACCCCTCCAACCCTTTCCCTCACTGCCCAACTATATACACTCCCTTTTATTCAACCTGTTCTTCCGATGCTCGGTCTGTCCCATGATGACCCGCAGCTGGAGCTTCTCACTGACCGGAGGGCCTTCCACTGGCCTTTAAAAAATTATGGTTAATATATGGGGAAATCCAATGTTTAAGGAGTGATGGGAGAGGGCTGGAGCTGCTGATCAGGTTATAATTCCCCCCCCCCTCGTGTCTGCTCGGGTGTATTTTTTTACCAGGGCAGGTTCTCCTATGAAAATTAATGGAACTAGCTACAGGGCCCCAATCCCAAAGGGGCCCCAGAAGTGACTTTCATCAACACAGCGAAGAATTAAAGGGTTGTGAAGCCCCCCCATCCCTATATTATAATAAAAAAGAAGCGCTAAACACAAGGGGCTATACAGCACTGCCCCATCCCCTATAACAGATCATGAGTCAGGGCTTAAAAAAATGTAGGCTGCCCACTGGGTTTGTTTTTTTTTTTTTTTTTTTTTTAAACCGGGTATGATACTCAGTTAACAAGTTTTAACAAGGAGTATCTCACCATGGCAGTTAATTTTATCCTGCTGTAGTGGGGTTAGATCCTGTAACTTGGGTTTACCTGTCAAGTTAACTGCACAGGACCACGATTCAATTCAAATTGATCTCTATAAGGCCTTACAATGCGAGTCGACTGATTTGGGTTGATTGTGTGGTTTACATGGCAGAACAAAATAATTAGTGTCCCATTAGAACACCTATCATGGCTAGCATTTTGGGCAGACTTAGTTTAATACGTATTCATTCGTCGTCTCGACCTCTGTAGTGACGGACGTGTATTACACTGCCCTCGCTGGCCGTTTGAGACGAGCCGAGATTTTTCTCGAATGGCGGAACAACCACTAAGGCAGATCAACATTGTCTGTATACAGCTGGTGTGTAGGGGCTGTGGACCGGCCCAAACAGCTTCATGTTGTCCAACCAGCCATCATCAAGGAGACTTATGGTGTAGCTGATGAACTTTATGGAGGTGGCACTTAATGGAGCCATAGGGTCTTTGTTAACTAAAACGAGTGTCTAAGAGCAGTTAGTCAACAAATATCAAGACCGTTGTGTTGGTTGTCAACCCAGCAGTCAGTGAACTCGTCGAGTTTCCACGTTACTACACATGGGTAAGTACAAAACTTACCTTTTGAAGCTGATGAGACTGACTTACCAGCAGTATTCGCAGGTATGGGACTGTACATAGTGGCGGCCGTCGAAGTGGACGGAGGGCGGCATGATGCTGGCCTCCTGAAGTGTACCTTCTCCGCTGAAAATGTCTTTGAAACATCCCATACGTCGTATGAAGTGTTGCATGATTTCGTATGCAAGGATGGAGTCCCTATGCTGGCAACACCGTCACTTGTCTTTTGGTGGAAGTACGATCACATTGAGCACAATGTGGTTGCCAACAGTGGAAGGAGGACGTAGGGCGGCCGCCAATGGAAAACCGTCCAGAGTGACTTCTTGTGCCTGAGTTGGGTGCACGTCCGAAGTCGTCCATTGGTGGAGTGAAGAGGTGGAGTGAGAGGAGCTGATGAGGATGTCTTGTATGACAACCTGGAGATCCTTCCACCATTGCCAGATCATGCTGGGCGGTGGAGGAGAGTGGACAACACATTAGCAAATGGTGCGAAGGGATTGTTGGACACCGGGAAGAGGTAGAAGAGGAGGGGATTGAATTATCTTGGGAATGTGTCTTGTGTACGTCCCAGATGTGGGAGGACTGTTGAGAAACAGCATTGCTGGGATGGATGTCATCACTGTAGAGGTTGGTGGGTGCACAACGAAGGCCTTCTGGAGGTAGCTATGAGGCAGTGGGAGTGATCGTGCAAACGAGCAGCGGCTTGTCAGACAGGATAATTCCTCACCCCGGAGCAAGCCTGGCAATGTGTGGGCAGAGGTGGCACGAGGTGCCCGAAAGGGCCAAGGGGTCCGGCGGTGACACGGGAGGACCTCTGGCGTCTGGTCCATGTACATGTGTAAACACTGCAGGCAACTAAAAGCGATCTGCAAACAGGCCAAGGTAAAAGATTGGCTTAGTGTGTTTTTTACAGTAAATGTAAATGGTTGCGAGACAGTGAAGTGCTGGGTTTGTGGGTTTTCTACAAAGGTATGGAGTGATGTGGGCTTTGTGCAGGACACCCATTTATAAAGCCGGGGTGTGAAGTTGGTACTGGATGGATTTCAGGCGTTTGATGCACAATCCCTCTAATTGGGAAAGGGGGGGTTCCACTTTTTGGGCAAAACCAGCCCTTTGTTGTGTATCGTAGGAGGTAGGGGAGGACAGGACCGGGGGGTCGTGGCGAGTGGATGGGCTGTGGATGGGGGGAGGTCGTGCTAGTGTCAGGGCCTGCAAGAGCTGGGCGTGTCAAACTGCCTTTGTGAGGATATTTTGTGTACCACTCTGGTCGCTTCCCCCATGGCGGGTTGGTGGGGGGGTGACTGGAATGGTGGGGTGGAGAAGAAAGATGTGGGACCTAGAGGTCGGGGTTTCACTGTAGTGTTAGGGATTCTTTTGAGAGGGTTGGGTTGGTGGGAATTAGCTACAGTGAGGCATTAGAGTGCAGCACACGTTGTACTATGAGGTATGCTGCACGTCTGGACCGTTTGTACATGACAAAGAGCTGCAAGGTGGAAAGGATGTGGTGGCCGTAGCAAATTCAGATCAGTGAGCGGTAATTGTTGAAAGTAGGTGGGACGGTTGCCTAAGAGGCATAGGGAGTTTTTGGGAAATTGAATGTTCAGCTCCTTGAAGATGGGAGGGGGGGAGGGAGGAGGGAGGGGGTTTCCGCAATTGTGGAAGAGTTGTGGTTGGGAGGGGAAGCAGTTGGGGAATGTTGGCATGGTGGATGGCTGGCAAAGGGGAGAATTAGGGCATATTATGTTAGACAGGCAAGGGGAGGCTCAAATGACTGTTGGGCTATAAGATATTTAGATGAGCAGTTGAGGGATATGGTAGGGGTGGGGGCAGGGTTATCCTGTGGAGGAAATAGAGAGGCTGAAGCTACGCATCAGGGAATTGCAGAATCAGAAGTTTTGATGCAGTGCGGGTAAAGGGTGGTTAGAGGAAGTTCGTGACGACAGGCCATCGGCATCGTTCTGGGCGGGGCAGCAGAAACATCACGAGCTACAGAGATGAATGTTTTGTAGGCAGGAGATTGAGATTAACGAGGTATCGTGTGGGTACAGGTGCTTTGTACGACAGCAGGGGATGGGTTATGTGATAATGTTTGGGACTTCTGTGAAGAGTGGTGTGGAGGCATGGGGAGGGTGTTAGAGCAGTTGGAGAGCATGTGGGGCAAATGTACTGATCAGGGGGGACCGTATGGTGCTGGGTGGGAACATTGGACGAAGGTGAGGTGTGGCGGGCATATCGGGAATAGTAGAGGTAAATCCCCAGGAATAGACGGTCTGCCCTGGAGTTACTTAAAAATTGGGACATGCTTAAGGAGTTCTTGGTGAGGTTGCTGAACGCGATGAAAAACACAGGTGAGCTGGGGGTTTTGCACGCAATGCAGTGGGTATCTATGGCCCGAAGGTGCCAGTCTGCCCACGTGGAAGGACTATAGGTATTTCTTTACTGTGTGCGGATTATAATTATGATCTAAAAATATTGGGGAATAGGTGGAAGTAGTGTGATCAATAGGGGTGGCGGGCAGCAGGCCAGTATTGGTGGCCGGGAAGGACCCTGTATGAGGGCACGGGGTGCTTCGGGGGTTTTGTGGAGTGTGAGCCAGGACTGAGGGGGGGGGTATTGCCTTAGATTGAGGGCTGCATATATTAGTGTCGAGAGATCGTTGTGTGGTGGATGCCTGAGGTGACAAGGGTTGGGATGAGATTGTGAGGATACAAAACTTGTATCATAGTGGGTGTTCATGCAGGTGAATAGAAGGAGGGAGTGGATCCCAAGGGGTAGATGTCTGCGGCAGGATGTCCTTTATCCAACTACTTTTTGCATGTTTGGCAGGATCTTTTATAGAGCAGAGAGGTATGTGTGGAGGGGAGCGACGGTGGGTGGGCCAGGCGTGCCGGGAATTGTCGGTTATGTAGATTGACACGACTATTCTTGTGCGGGAAGGGGAAGGGGGGGTTTAGGAGGGGTGGGGAAGATTGTGGCCTGTTTGAGAGGGACTTGGTATGAGGGTGAATGTAGAGAAATCTAAGTTTATGGGTTGGGATTGGAGGAGGTGCGGGGGAGGATAAGCGGGAGGTGGGTGTTGTGAACCAGGTTAAGATTTGTGGGATTGAGCTTATCAGGATGTACAGCAAGCTAGGATGGTTAATCTGGAAGTCGTGGAAGGGTGAATATACAGTTGGATGGTTGTGGCCAAGGAATTATTAACACTTCATCAAGGTTATTGTAGTAACAATCTTACTATATTAGTTAAAATTTTGGCAGATAGTCGCTATGTACCCTTTGGTGCAATCAGATATTGCGGCATCATTGAGGAGTCTTAGTTTATTTGGGGGTTAGAATGTGATTGCTTAGGAGAGGGGGTGTGGTAACTCTCCCAGTGCGCAGAGGCAGGCTGGGGTTAATTAAGTTTAAAGTAGATTATGAGTATATGTAAAAAGGGGTTCCTCCGAGGGGAGGGGGGGGTTAAGGTGGTGGTTGTCACCTTTTTGTATGAGTGTCAGAAGATGGTGGGGAGGGAAGGATTTGCGTGTGCGAGGAACATTTGCGGGTGCTCTGTACTGTAGGGATATACACACATGAGGTGGTGTTTTTTGAGAGAAAGTGGTGGGGGAACGGGGAAGGGGCGACTGAGGAGGAGTGTATCCAAGTATGCATGTGGGGATATTTGGGATAGGTGTGAAGCTAAGCATCCCCGCGTGAGCGGAGGTGATGTCCGGTTACTTGCATGGTATTCTCCGATCAGGTGTGGTGTTTCGAGACAGGAGGGATTAGTGAGGAGCGTCTGGGGCTTGTGGGGGTGAGGATCGCCTTTCATGCAGTCTATTTCTGTGAACGATTGGGGGATGTGCTGGAGTGGAATGGGGGAGAGTGTATAATGGTTGGGAGGGGTATTTCAGTCTTGTGGCTCTAAGTTGGATGTGGGAGGGGTGGAATCCCTGTGGCAGCGGCACTTGGTTACCTTAATGTGGAGTTTGTCGTGGGCATGAGGGGTCAGGGATGGGGGGTGTAAGAGGATTGGCGGCAATTTTATCGTACTGCTGTTCGGAATCTGGTTTCTTTAAGGGATAAGGTGGGGAGAGGACCTCCCTGTAAGCTTAATCGTGTTTAACGGAGGAATTCTCCTGGGGGATGTAGGGAGGGAGGGTCGGGATGTGGTGGCTGGTCTCCCCAGGGGGGGCGGCGGCAATGTCGAGTAATGCTGGAACACCTTCTTATATGTTAGAGAGCTGTGATTTATGGTGAGTAGGTTTGAGAGAGTAATGTGTATGAGTTTGCCGTGTGTTGTAGCATCATCTAAATTGTGCTTTTATTATGTAAAGGCGGTATGCATGTGGGGGGGGGAACCAAAGAAGCTTATACGACACTATTGGGTAATCTAGTTTTTTATGCCACGTTAGATTGGAGCCCATGGTCTCGATATGTTGTTAGATGTAATTTCATGAATGTAGGTTGTAATCGAAGGTTTTGTTTGTATTTTGGACGCATATTTCTTGGTCTTGGACACAATTCTCGAGTAATTTCCTCCCCCCCCCCCCCGAGTCATTGACGTGTTTAAGTTTTGTGGTTTGGTAATGTCTCAGTATGTGGTAGCGTGATAGTTTATGTGAGAAATCCTTTATATATGATGGCTTGTATTCATTTCATGTATATAAAATAGTTATAAACCTGGTATTGTGTTGCTGTTAATGTATTCTTGATGCAAGTTCTGGGCTAGATCACAAAAAGGTTGTTGGTAACGAGAGTAATGATCAAAATTACAAGAACTGTTTCATTATAACATGTAATATTGGTGATGTTTTCACTGTGTGTCGACATGCAAGGTTGTAGCGATGGTTAAGACGTATTCCTTTTCGAATTAGTATAGGGGTTAATTAAACCGAAAAAAGTTCCGTTTTGTGATTTCAGATGTTTTCTTTGAAATGTTTGTTTATATATTACTGCTGTATTGGTTTTAAATATAAAAAAAAATTCTTAATTCTAAAATATTACAAAATTATGAGGAAAGTTGGTATTATTTTAAGTGACTAAACACTAGTTTTGAGAGTTTAAGCAATGGTGAATGCTTTTGGTTTTTGCACAGTACTATAGTTGCAGTATTGGAGGTATCACAGGCCAACTTATGACTAGTTTGGATTCATTATTTTAAGATTGAGTATACTATTTCTGTTTATGGTCAAATGGTGAGTGATGTGGTAAGGGTGGAACACAGGTGGTATTCGTGTTGCTAGTTGACGTGGTGTCTCAGAGGATAAGCATGTATTCTAATGTAGTTGAAGTGATGAAGGTGTGTGCGTCTAGAGTTCTCAGTAGGGTGTTCCAGATTTTAGGGGCCTTGACATACATTGATTTTGTAAAGTTTAGTCGGACACAGGACTGTCAGGAGATGTTTTTGGTTCTGTTGTGAGCCCTGTGGGTTCTGTCACAACTGCAAGAAAGCGTTATAGCCAGGATTAATATTGGAATTTAAGGTCCTGTAGAGGTAGACAGGCACAGTAGTAATGGTGGATGTATTGAACAGGGAGTAAGTTTAGATCTATGAAAGATGGGGGGAGGTGTTAGCCAGGGATGGGATTTAGTGATTATCCTACTGTGGCTTTAGTTGGATTATTATTGGCAATAGTTGTTGCTGCGTTTGATCCCCAAGCACAAATAGCATCAGGTGAGTATAGATTAAATGATGGTATATGTGCAGAAGGCAGTTTTGCGGCACGCAGTATCATATCTTGAGAGGATACCAAACCTTTTTTGGATACTTTTTGGGTATGGTGGGTTGATATGGGTGCTGAAATTCAGGTTGTCTAGGAATTTGCCCTCATTATGCCTGAGAATTGGAGTGTTGTCAATCTTAATGTTAATTTGCGCAACTCTGCTCTGCTACCAAACAATAATATAGTAGGTTTTGACAGTGTTAAGCATAAGTTTATTGGCGTCATGCAAGACGATATATTGATAGCTCTCGTTAACAATGGTTTGAGGTGGCAAGATAAGGGTGAATGACCACACGTCGTGTCCGTCAGCAAAGAGAATGGGTTTCAGGTGTTGTGATGATTTTGGAAGATCATTTGATGTATATGGGAAGACGCAGGGACCAAGGACATTCCCCTGCGGAACTCCAGTATCAAGTGTTTTAGTTTAGTTTAATATGTTTATTATGCACCCCATAGATCAAGTGGCCGTGTTGCATGATGCTGTGTTCTTAAGGTGCCTACCTGAACCGATTAGTAAGGTAAGATTTGAAAATATCAATGGCATGGCCCTTATACTGTATGGTAAAGTTTTGTGGAGTATATGCCTGTCAACTTGTCAAAAGCTTTTCTTAGTCAATAAAAATTCCCTAGTGAAATTCCTTGTTTGTCCAATGCTGTGTAAAGCAGATCTAGCATTTTTAATGAATTGCATCATAGTGCTTTTATTTTTCCTGATCCAAATTGGCAGGGGTAAGTATGTTTTGTGCATTTAAAAATGAATAGTCTCCTGTGCAGAGTTTCTCAGATTTGGATGCAATGGTAAGTTTGATAATAGCCTATAGTTGTTTGAATTCTAGGGTCACCACCTTTATGTATTGGTTTAACCCTTGCCATCTTGAGTAAGTTTCGGGAAATGGTCTAGTTTCCAGTACTTGTTAAAAAGTAGTGAAATAGCATGCAAAGAACCTTGGCCGCTCCGCTTGTACGATAGGTGGGACATGACAGATCCCCAAGATATTTTTAAGTACTTTATAATCTCGTGACTTCCATGGCTTCAAGGTGCAAGATAGAAAGAATTTGGGAAATTCCATCTAGGTTATTCCCCGCATGGCATTGGTAACGTGGGATTTTATGCAAGGTAGAGCCTAGGTTGAGAAGAAGGGCATTTATCTTTGTTAGCTGTGTCAGTGGGATGCAGTGGTGTTTAATAGTTTAGTTAGGACAATATTCTTGTTTTTTCAGTTGTGGGTCCCTAGAATCTGAGTGTTCCAGGTCTTTTTTATATCCTTGTCCTGTGAATCTACTGGAGTAGTATAGTTGTTGGCTCTTATTATTTGGTGCGAACTGATGAATAGTGTTTAAGAATATCTGTATTAAGCCGCTGTCTATTTGCTTTCATATTGGTGTTTACAAGAATTTCAGAATGGTGGTTAGCCATGGGCAACCAAGCCGTTTGTGATAGTTTCGTTTTTAATAGGACAATGTTTGATGTATAGTCCTTAATAAATTTAAGAAAATGTCTTCCAGTCATCAATACCAGTGGCCTTGGAGAATTCTGTGGCCATCAACAGTCTCTAGGTCCTCTGTGAGCTTCCTTATTGAGGCCTCCATCATGGAGTCAAAATGAAACATTGTTGTATTCAAAGAAGGGTAGGGTAGTGGTCTGTAGTGCTATCTGTGATTATCCCGAAATTAAGGGTGGGCCAAAAAAGCCTGAGCCTTGGCTAATCACCTGCAGCTCACAAGACGGCCATCCCCACGACCCCTTGGGCGGGGCAGATGGCAGACGGGCAGACGCAGCCGGCAGACGGCCAGACCGGCAGACGGCAGACTGCAGACCGGCAGACGGCAGACGCAGACCAGAGGCCTAGCTTCTCCCGACGAGCCCCGTGAGGCGGGAATGTGTGTTAGGCCTGGGGACAGTTGGTCCCAAAGATAGGGGGTACTTTGTACCTCTCCCATGGGAGACTTAAGTATCTCGAGACACACCCCAGATAGGGAGCCAAGCCGGGTCCCCACTACTTGGAAAAGCCCCGGGCCGGGAGAATACCGGCAATAAAAAAAAAAAAAAAGGGTTGGCTAATAATGGTCCATATGAGGTCTATTAGGTTGCACTTGTCTCATTGAACCTGGGTGGGTTAGTCATTTTTGGTATGAGAAGCGTGTTCATGTTTGAAGAAAATCATTTGCAGCTGGATCATCTAGTAGGGGCAAGATGATGTTGAAGGTCTCCAGCTAAAGAAGGTGTGCTTATTCATTTTGTCATCTTGTTATTAGTAACTTTAATTTCTCACTGAAATTTGGATGTGTGTGGGGTATCCGGAAAATGGCACCGATTATAGGCTCGTAACTTATTTTACAGTAAAAATAGCAAAAATTATTCCCCATATTCATCACTAAAGCAAAGTGGTGCTAATACAAGATAATTGGTTAGATTAATAGATTGCAATACCACCCCAACTTTGGTTTGGTCTGCAGTTTGTGAATTGGCTGATATCCTGAAGAGGGTAGAGATCTATTGGTCCTGCTTAGCCAGGTCCTCAGTAAAATAATAGCAGAGAAGGGTGTCTTTAGTGATTCAAGAGTGCTAGAGTCATCATGGGGTTTGGCTTAAGACTCTTGAGTTGTAGTTAAGTCCTGAAAATTTTTAGCTTGTTAGGATATGGTTGCTTGTGATGCTGTGTAATAAAGCATTACTTCAATAGTTTTTGATTGGTGGTCCAGATCGTAGGTTTAGGACCCCCCACGACGAGCCAACGACAGCAGGAGGCGATCGACGAATGGGGCCCTTTTTGGAGTGACCCATAGGTGTGGTGGTTTTGGGAGTGCTTGCAGAAGTTTTGATTAGACCCTTGGGTAAATTTGAGTATTTTTCCCAAGGGGGAGTTGCGGGGAAATATAAATGATGGCATATTATTTATGAAATAATTTTTGAGGGTGAGTTAAAAGATCCGGTCCCCCTATCTGCATGTGGGGGTATGTAAAGTAGTGGTTTGGTTCGTCCAAGCGGGGGGAGGATGATGGTGGGGGCTGGTGAGGGAGCTTGAAGAAAATTCGTAGTTTAGCTTGGATCTTTGCAATTGCTGCTACGTTGGGTGTTGCTAGTGGGTTTTTTTTCTTTGCTGCTTTTTGTGTTTTTTTCAAAATATCCTTACGTGTGGGACATTTTGTGCCAGGTATGGTGGTCGTTACTTTTCTTTTTGCCGATGGTTGGTGGTGGAGTAGAAATGGTGCGGAACTGAAGGTGTGTCCTCACTACCACATAGTGCAGAACTTCTTGTCTTTTATTTGGACATGCTTGGTGGTGTGATTTTAAGAATAACATTTCAGCAGTGTTGGATGTATGAAACTTTCTGCTTCGATGTAAGTTGATGATGAAGTAGAAATAAACAGCAAGCCCTTTTCGTTCAGGCAGTGGCAGCCATGTTACGTCAGTGAAGGTGACCTTAGCCATGGACGATGCATTCGGTTTTTTGTGATGCTGTCAACAGTACCCCAAGTATTTTGCGTTCGAGGGAAAGTCTTGAGTTCTGCAGGTGATTGGGGACTCAAAATCTTGTCAGTTTTTTAAGGAATATGATTTCTGGCCTGGAGGGCAGGAGATGACATAAAGTAAACCCTTGAGCAGTAAGTGTAGTGTGGCATCTGTAGTGAGTAGCTTCTTGCTTCAGCTCATCGTGACACACAAAATTGCTTCTTTCAGAGACAAAATGGTGTTGAATTTAATTTTCAGTGTTCCTTGAACAACATTGCAAGAGCAATCTTCGTTGAATCATCAACGGTCCACTTGTTGGCTTGATCTTGACACTTTGCGTAGCTCATCGTGCAAGTCAAGGTGAAGACAACGCTGGAAAAGGTTTCCCTCCCCAACGGGATGTAGGGAATGAGTAAGTAAGGAGAGTGCTTGGACCTCGCAGGGCAAGAGTCAAGAGCAGATGTTGATTGTTAAAACCGATTTTAATGATAAAAAAGGCACAGTTCAATTGTAATTACCTAAGGTCTTAATAAGTTTTACAAGAAACTAGAGTACAATAGATTTTTAATTGACGGGGATAAAATACACAAGTTAAGGTAGCAAAAGAATATAAAAAAAAAAATAAAAATAAAATGGCATGTCTTGGTTTAATATGGCTAGTAGATGGTAGACAGGTAATATAATTTTAGTTGTTAATACTAGTTTAAAAAAGTATAGAATAAAAATGGGCAATAAAAAAAGTTTACAATAAGTTTGGTCAATATAGTTTAAAGTAAAATTGGGCAATAATAGGGATTATAGAATAAAATTGGGCAATTGAGTATTTCTTAGTTTAATGTGTTTATTATGCACCCCATACCCATCCTGTGGGCGGTAGTCAAAAGATTAGAGGTACATAATGGGTCCAGGGACTGGACTCCAAAGTTTTGATAGCTGAGCAAGTTAGAGGTAATGAACTCACAATTTGCAAAGGTAATGAACTCACAATTTGCAAAGGTAATGAACTCACAATTTGCAAAGGTAATGAACTCACAATTTGCAAAGGTAATGAACTCACAATTTGCAAAGGTAATGAACTCACAATTTGCAAAGGTAATGAACTCACAATTTGCAAAAGGTAATGAACTCACAATTTGCAAAGGTAATGAACTCACAATTGCAAAGGTAATGGGAAATCACAATTGCAAAGGTAAAAGGGAATCACAATTTGCAAAGGTAATGAATCACAATTTGCAAAGGTAAAGACTCACAATTTGCAAAGGTAATGAACTCACAATTTGCAAAGGTAATGAACTCCAGGTAGGTCTGGTCACAATCATGACAAGTTAAAGGTATTTACAGAGGTAGAATTATTGAGGACAAGTTATGGTTAGTTTAAAATAAGATAGAACAGTGATAAGATAAGATTTCGTTCGGATTTTTAACCCTGGAGGGTTAGCCACCCAGGATAACCCCAAAAAGTGCGTATCGAGGATGATAACTTATTTCCATTGGGGTCCTAATCTGTCCCCAGGATGCCACCCACACCATCGACTAACACCAGGTCCTATTGTGCTAGGTGAACAGGGCAACAGGTGCAAGGAAAGTGTCGAATGTTTCAAACCGCCGGAATCGAACCGGGCCTGTGTGTGAAGCGGAGCTGTAGCCACAGGCCACTCGATGTGGTAAGTGTAAAAAAAGGAGATAGATTCTGTAAAATAATTTAATTTCCCCTTAAAACTGAGGTTGAATGGTCGTTTAATACAACAATGATTAATTAAAGTAGTTGGGTATTTAGAATTTTTAAGGGGGGGCCAAATTTATGACAATATAAAAACTAACGGTTGGGATTGGGTATTATCTGCACTTTTGATTTGTCCCGCCTCACTTTAGAATGTTTTAAGGTCATTGTTCTGTAAAAGAAATGTATCCTTCCCAGTGGGGTTTCCTACTGCGATTTTTCCGTCCCTCACAAGCACTGGGGGATTTTTTTTTTTAGCGTAATTTTCTTAGCCGATAAAGGAGGTTTGGGCTTGTTTGGTAGGCATCTTGACGTAAACATAGTTTTCATAGAAATGGAAGTTTTTAAAATTTTCTTTGTAGGCTAGTTTGGAATTTAGCAGCACTC